AACCAAATCGAATGAAAATAAAAGCAAAAAGTCAAAAAATTAAGATTTATGTTGTCTGGTCTAACAAGGGCCATGTCCTGTGACACAGGCACCCGTGTCACCATCCTGTGATGATCCATGTGCGTTTTTTCTTTCTGCACCAGCTAAGCTGACATAGGTCATGTCCTGTGACATGGGCACCCGTGTCAGCATCCTGACTTTCCACTTTGTATGTTTCTAGTTCCAGTAGACCTTACATGGGCCGTGTCCTGTGACATGGGCACCTGTGTCAGCAACTTTTCCTTTATATTTATTAGCTTATAATTCCAGTAGACCTGACACAGACTGTGTCCTGTGACACGGGCACCCTTGTCAGCACCCTATCACTACGCCAAAAAAGACCTTTAAAAGCGCTTTTTTTGGGCTTTAAAAGCGCTTAAAAGCGCTTTAAAAGCTTGCGCTGGCGTAGGTAACAAAAGCGCTTCTAAAAGCGCTCTGGTAGACCCCCCCTTTAAGAGCGCTTCCTGGAAAAAGCGCTCTGGTAGGACCCCCTATAAGAGCGCTTTCCTGGAAAAAGCGCTCTGGTAGACCCCCCTTTAAGAGCGCTTTTTAAAAGCGCTGCCAAAGACCAGTAAAAAAGCAAAAAAAATTAAAAAAAAACGCAGCCTACAAAAGCGCTTTTGTAAAAGCGCTCTGGTAGGCCCCCCTATAAGAGCGCTTTTTCCAGAAAAAGCGCTCTTATAGGGGTGCCTACCAGAGCGCTTTTACAAAAGCGCTTTTGTAGGCTGCGTTTTTTTTTAATTTTTTTTGCTTTTTTACTGGTCTTTGGCAGCGCTTTTACTAAGAAGCGCTTTAGTAGGTGGACCTTTAAGAGCGCTTTTTAAAAGCGCTGTCGTTTCTAAATGAGGTATTTTTATGTGCAGCCTATAATTTAATCCTCCCAGTCGACCTGTAATGTTTTCGACCTGTAATATTTTCGACCTGTAATATATTTTTGACCTGTAATATATTTTCGACGCTATTATTTCAGCCATCAGTAAGACAATATATGTACTAATATAATACCATTATAATATCCAAAATTATATATATACATCATTACATCAATAATATTATAGTTCAAATCGACACAAATCCTACATGAAAAATTGCCTAATATAATATTGACACAAATCTTCTTTAATTTCTTCCAACTTAAGCTTCGGGTACGCAGCAGCACGGAATTCGTCAAGGTACTACAAAACAAAAACATAATATAAATGATATATTTAGTTAAATGTAATAAATTATATGAAATTATCTTAAGTTATAAATTCATACCGTGAGCGGAATCTCTAATTGATTCGCCTGAAGGATTTCTTTCATGAACCTCAAAACAAAGTATCCGCAATCATGACTGTTTCGCTGTTGCGGACACTACATAATAAAACAAATAAGATTCTATAGTTGTCTTGTTTTACCAAGTAGCATAAATATTATAAGCAAAATTGTGAAAAGTAATGTACCTGCACTTGGATCCAAGTGATGTTGTTCGATTTAGTTCGGGATACCTGTGCGTCCCGTTGACTACGGAACACTTGTATTGATCTAATTATTAAATATATAAAAGCATATGTTTAAATCAATCCCACAAATAAGAAAATATATAAATATACACGAATATATATTTAGAACGATCCCACTTACAAATCAACGATTTCCTTCATAGCCGGATAATTGGTCCATTCACCATTTACCGAATTCAGATAATACACGACTTCTCTTATCGGGTTGATAGCAAGCAGCAACCAGTGTGCTCTATAAATTAAAACAATAGGTTATATGAAAATTTTGCTATACACAAAAGAAACAGAGATTAGATGAACCAAGAATGAGAAACTAACCCTACTGGTCGGGTATTATACGCCCAAAGATGCAGACTTTCTGTATTGCCGGTGGACATGAATCTATCTACTAAGCGCTGTCTAACTGATTCCGGTTCCGAAGCAATTGTCATTCCGCTGCAATGGGCGGAAGACACGAAACGGAATCTGTCAGACAATGCAGTCCCGCGCAACACTCTGTCATACAACAACCTTAAATAAAAACATAATAAACATTAGATTATTTTCATTGAAATGTGTAAATAAATTATATTGTGGGACTAATTAAATAATATATCGGATGAGTGAATATTACCGGATGTATGAGTGCATATTACTGACGCCTAGTTGATCATGGGTAAAAATCTCTTCCAAGTCATCAAATGTAATATGTGACTGGAATTCAATACCGAAGACACTTTCATCCATGTTGATTTCACGTAAACCACCATCCTTCAAATCGGACATATCAACCATTGTTGCGAGTGTCGAACGGTATCGAGGCACAAAAGCACCGCCTTTTTTTGCCGCTTGCTTCGGAGGACCAGTGGGTGGTAAGCTACGAACCTGCTGCGTCACTTGTTGTGACTCCCGAGCGGATGCCTAAAAATCATATAAGTTAGGTAAAATATAAAATCATGCAGATTTAGATTCAGACTATATATTAACACTTTAAATGTACCTCTTTTAGTGATGCAACAGACTCCTCCTCCTGTAAAATCCCTTTACCCTTAATTGCGGGTTTTATAGGAGCAGTCTAAAATTAAAATGTAAAAAATAATTAATAAACGGTTTAGAATTGACATTCGAAAACTAAATGATTCATAATCGTTTTCAGTATACCTCATCACTAATGGTAATGAGCTCCGAGGGCCATGCAACAAATGATCCTATTGCATCTCGCAGCAATGTCGTCTCTGAGACCATGTCGGGTACCGGTAGAATCGCATCACGATCTAATACAACATCCACCGATACTTTCAGGTGTCCATCAGGGAGGGGTCTGTGGTGAAGTAAATCTCCCGAAGTGTTGTGCACTTTTCCCTTGCCAACTAGTCGATAATTCGGTGACGATAAGTATAGTTGGCAAGATGAAATGCCCTAAACAAATAGAAAATATAAAGTCATTATCATTAATAAAATAGAACAGTTTGTAAGGAAAAAAACTTATAATTACCTCGGGAAATTTCTTTTGATAGTTGATACTAGCCTTATCACTAGTATCTCTCACCGATGAAGTGTTGCATTTTTCTCTCATATACATATCTTTATCTCTTTGCAATTCAGAGACCTGTGCTTGCAATTCCTGCAACTTTTGCAACACTTCTTCATTGGTAAGATTTGATCTTCTCCTAGAACTCTTATAAAAAGAGGTTGGAGTCACACCATGACCCTTACCCCTCACCCGACCGGGATACTCGGGAGCATCTAGTACTCTACTAAGTACGCTCTCCTCACCGGTGGATGCCGATTGCGACAAGGTCTCCTGTAATTCATTTACATTTAAATAATTATTAGTGGAGATAAAAAATCATTTATATATTAAAAAACATTTGATTTAATTAAAGACACAGTATTATACTTACACATTCAGTATAAACTCTCTGAACATCGGGATCGACAGCTTGATTTTTGCCCACACGAGCTTCCTTCCACAACACATGTACAGGAAGTGAAGCTTCCTCACTTTTAGTCTCCTCTAACTATGCATTGACACAAACGATAAAATCGTCAATTAAAACATGCACATGTAGACAATTAATTAAAACGCATTTCTATTTACTTACAATTTTATCCTCTAAGCGTGCATATCCCAAACGCCCTTTCTTGTATGGATACGCGGGTTTGGATGCTCTCTTACTATTCGTGGCACTCTTTTTCTGAAATGCTTCATCTCTTTGCTTTAAAAACTCAGCCCAATCTGCTTCATCAATGAATGTCGCATACTTTGTTGGCCGTCCCGGTGCCTCTTCAAGAAATTTTCCATCTTTATCCTTAAGATAGGTGTTTGTCAAAAAACTTTTCCACCCTCTATATCTTTTGCCGGCCAAACTAAGTATGTAGCTTTTACGTTCATCTGGTATCTCAAAAGTCCTCTGCAAAAATAACAACAATTAACCATATATGATATATACCTGAAGTGTTAGTATAAGTAATTTAAACAATTTATCGTCAAGATAATAACAACAATTAACCATATATGATATATACCTGAAGCTCTTCCCAAATCGCTTGTTTTTTCTCCTCCAATTCTGAATTTTTCGTTTTCGATTTCCAGGTAGGTACGGAGACCGGAATATGCATACGGACAAGTGTACCAATATAACTTGTCAACTTTGCAGAATTAGGACCAATTGGTTGTTTATCAGAATTCCATTCCAATCGGTATACTAATCCTTGGTCTCTATGTCGAATGATTCCCTTCATAATAGTGATGCCTCGTGCCACCTCTTTTGCTTCAGTATCAGGTGGAGCATTTGTATCCGAAGCAACTCTTTCTTGTGAGTTATCTTGTGCGTTTTCAGGTGGGTTTTGAGGTGGAGCATCTCTATCTGGAGCCATTGAACCTGTATCAAACAAACTAAAGCACATTAGTACACTATTAACACTAACTTTATATGAGAAACATTTCAAAAAATTACATAAAAATAATAAAGATGTCCTCAAAACTCAACCCCTTTTACTAAAAATAATAAAGTATTTAACAACAAAAGAAACTAAACCCATAGATAATAAATAAGCAGTCCAGTAATATTTTTCTTGCTTTGAAGAGATACCTAAAACATATGAAAATATGAGTTGTTCCCATCACCAAGTCTTATCCAAGTCTTATTTTTCTATCATGTTACACATTGAAATAAATTATTTTCTTATATATTTAAATAAAAAGAAATACTACTATATTGAAATTTGAAAATAAGACTAGCACCACCAATGAATCTGCAAGATAAAATTGAAGCTCCAAGACTCGAGACATTGGGCTCAGCACCAAAACTTGTCTCTAGTGTCATGATCATGAATCCAATTTCCATGTTCACACACACATATATATATATATATATATATATTCCTTCTTCATTCATTCAACCTTGGTATTCTTAATACTAGTTTAGTACAGAAACAGAATCAACAATTTCTTAGTCAGATTTTATTACTAGGATGTTTCAGATTCACTCATGCTCTTTGATTGCAACAATAATAATTGTTGTTACAACACAAATCATTGTAGGAGTAAATTCCTTTTCAGAATCTGATAAGATAAGCAGTTTACCTCAGCAGCCAAAAGTGGAATTCCAGCAATATGCTGGTTACGTTACAGTTGATGAAGTGCAGAAAAGATCTTTGTTTTACTACTTTGTTGAAGCAGAAGTTGAACCGGCTTCTAAACCAGTTGTGCTTTGGTTAAACGGAGGTATGTAGCTACGAAACACCGACATAGACACAAAAATATCTAAGATGACATATAGTAACAGGTAATAATTTGAGAAAGTTTAACGGATAATCACATATTTCGGTGTTATGACCGACTCAGACAGTATCAAACATCGGACACGTCTTTAATGTAAATTGTTTGTTACATAGGCTATTAGCCTATTATGAATATGGTAAAACTTTTTCTTTTTGGAATGTTAATGAAGTGTTAAGATTCAGTTGAAGAAGTTAAGATGTTTTGTGGATTTTGAAGGGCCTGGTTGTTCATCTGTTGGAGCTGGAGCTTTTGTGGAGCATGGACCATTCAAACCATCTAAAAATGGTCTTATTAAAAATGATTACAGTTGGAACAAAGGTAATTCAGAAACTTTGCAATTCCATTGTATTTTAGATGAATTTTGATAATCCATTTCTGCTTAATTACTCAAAATTGCTTTTCCATTTCCTACTCTTTGCAGAAGCAAATATGTTGTACTTGGAATCACCTGCTGGTGTTGGTTTCTCCTATTCTGCCAATGAATCATTCTATGACTTTGTCAATGATGAAATGACAGGTTTTTTTATAACTTCTTTTTGTTGCGTGCCATACTACTCTCAAAAGTCAACAAAAACATAAGATGATCACTAGGCTTTTCAAAAAGGATGGTACTATGATTGTGAGCTAAGATGATATTGAGAAAAAGGTGTTAAGGTTTTATGGCAGCCTCATGGGCATGGCTCAGGTTACTGGTGAGGGAGTTGGTATTAGAGCCCTTAGAAGAGGCAACCAGTTAACCATGGATCAAAGGGAAAAGATGGTACAACCTGTGACTGTTAGTGAAGTTGAAGATGCTTTAAGGAGTTTAGATAACCTAAAAGCCCCAGGGGTCGATGGCTTTGGTGCTAATTTTTTCAAAAAAAACTTGGAGCATAGTTAAAGATGATGTTATTAATGTGGTGCTGAATTTTTTCAATAAAGGGAATATGGATAAGAGATTTAATAGAACTTTGGTTACCTTGATTCCAAAGCATTAGAAAGATAGAACTATAAAAGATTATAGGCCTATTTCCTGCTGTACTGCTGTGTACAAGCTAATTTCTAAAGTCATGGCTAGCAAAATGGGGAAAATTCGGAAGTACATTATTAGTAGGAATCATACTGCTTTTATGAAAAGACCCATGATCATGTGTTACTAGCTTTTGAGATTATTAAAGGGTACAATAGAAAAGGAGGTATGCCTAGATGCATGTTACATATGGATATTCAAAAAGCTTATGACACTATGGATTGGCCAGCCATGAAGACAATTTTAGATGAAGTTGGTATCCCTAGGAAGTTTACTAGTTGGATTATGGCAGCTGTTAAAGGATCATCAACTGGATGCATGGAAAGCTGCTCTAACACAAGTAGCTGGACTCTCTGGTTGGGATTCAAAAGTCACCAGGTCACTCTTTTGTTACAGTTTGAGCCTAATAGTACTTTGATCCTCGTTTTTAACTAATGCATTTCTTTTTTTATTATGCACCAGACCAGAAAACATGCTTATTGAAGAAATTGTGAAAGATATTTCAAGAAAATTGAATTTGAATCACTCTTTCTTGAACGATTATCAGGGTATGATTGGAATTGAGAAGCATATTGAACAAATACAATCTTTGTTGCACCTTGAGTCAGAAGACTTTAGAGTTGTAGGAATTTGGGGTATGGGAGGAATAGGCAAAACAACAATTGCTAGAGCAATATATCACAAACTGGCAACTAATTTCAGTTCAAGGAGTATTATTCTAAATGTTGGACAAGAAGTAGAAAGAGCTGGAGTATACCATGTGAAAAACAAATATATATCAGAGCTTCTAGGGGAAGACAGCACATCCTCTGGATTAAGTCTCAAAAGTACAAAGGCTCTCCTTGTTCTTGATGATGTGTGTCATTCAAATCAAGTTAAAGATTTAATTGGAACCTGCAGTAACTTCGGGGAGGGTACTAGAATCATTGTGACTAGTAGAGACATGCAGGTACTAAAGAACGCCGAAGCTAGTAAGATATATGAAGTTAAAGAGATGAGTTTTAAAGATTCTCTACAACTCTTCAGTTTAAATGCCTTTAAACAAAACTATCCCATAGAACCTTATGTCGACTTATCAAAAAAGGTATTAAATTCTATGAGGACAATATCAAGAATTAGTTCTTATGTCAAGAATTAGCAATTCAATTCTATGAGGAATTTCTACGTACACCTAATGTGCAAATGTTATGTCTACAAATCTATGTTAAAATCTACATCACAAATTCACATAAACATTATCACAAACACATAATATGCATGCAGAAATTACTCAAGTATTCAACAAAACTATGAAAATCAAGTAATGTTACCTAAGATAATTTGTAGAAAATTGGAAGTTGGATGTTGTTGATGATGATAACAGGGAACCACGTTTGAAGTAGGAGCGACGGAGATGGCTGAGGAAGTGACGGCAAGTGACGGTGACGGCAAGTGACGGAGCTTTGAACAAATGGAAATAGAAGAAGAATGGCGGCAGCAGTGAAGTAACGGTCGCGGATGGGGTTTTACGGATGGAGATGAGGCAGAAGTGAAGGTTATGGAAGTTCGTAACAGTACTGAGGTCTGGACTTTGGAGTGTGAAGGTTGATGTGAGAAGACGGATGGGGTTTGTATAATTTTGTTTTTAAAAATTTTAATTTTAAAAAGGCTATGAAAGCGCTTTTGAAAAGCGCCTTAGTAGATGTAGCTATACCAGCGCTTTTAAGGGTAAAGCGCTCTTGTACCCCACCCCCTACCAGAGCGCTTTTGAAAAGCGCTCTCATACCCCCTTACCAAAGCGCTCTCATACCCCCTTACCAAAGCGCTTTTCAAAAGCGCTCTCATACCCCCCCTTACCAAAGCGCTTTTCAAAAGCGCTCTCATACCCCCCCTTACCAGAGCGCTTTTTAAAAGCGCTTTCATACCCCCCCCACTATAAGAGCGCTTTTTTAGCGTGTTTTTTAATTTTGTCTTTAGCGAAGCCTATGCCAGCGCTTTTCCTAAAAGCGCTTTCGTAGGGGTGCTGCTAAAAGCCAAATTTGGTATAGTGTATCCTGCATTTTTTGTTAGATTCTTAAACATTTGAGCTGACACGGGCCGTGTCATATGACACGGGCACCCGTGTCATCCCCTTATCTTGGCTTTTTTTACTGAGTTTTCTCTTTTGATCTATCTTTTTTTATGTATCTTTTGAACACAAATAACAAATTATGTATGGATAAAGATATTAAAGTTTTTGAAAAAGTATACCTCTTGAAGCGAAACTTTGGAACACATACGGATGTCTCCGGATGCAAAGTGATGATTGAACGAGCTCCTCCTTGAAACTGCTCCAATCCTTGCTCTGTGTTGCAAAGTTCCATAATCTCTCCAACCCAGTCAAAGTTGCAAAATACTTTTTTTGTTTGTGTTTGGAAGGTGATGATAAGGGTGTTACAGAAATTGTTCTTATGTTAGAACAAATCTCTATGTGATGTGAAGTGTTTGGTTGGTTGGTTTGTGGGAGAGTTTGTGAGATGGAATAATGGGTTGAGGTTCTGTTTTGGGGAATTAGAGATGAGTTTGAGAAGAGTTTTATGAATGGGAAGAGTTTAACAAGAATTATGTTTTTTCTCTTCTCCCTTTTTCTCTCCAAAATCCAGCCTCTTGGATGTGTTGTGAAACAGTTTATTTGTAGATCTTCCTTTACTGTCCTTTTTGGGAGAAAAACAAATAACAATTTGAAATATTTTTTCCTACTGTTTTGATACTTTTTCTACACAATTTTCTTTAGCCATTTTGGTGCAATTTATTGGATAGGTTTTTGGACAGATTTTGGACTGTATAGAACAACATATGCAGGTTTTGTGTCAGGTTTGTGATGCAGCATAACACAAGGTTTTTTGTAGGACAGCAATGGAGCAGAGTTTTTGAGTGTTGTGGCAGTGTATAGAAGTAGCATATCATACTTTGTTCAGCAGTAACTTGGACATCATAGTTTGCACAATGAAACAAGTTTGGTTTGTGGAGAAATAATACAAATTGTATCAAAGACAAAGCATTGTGGCAAGGTTTTGAGTCAAAGGAAAAATTTCAAACAAGACAAAGTTTAGGATTTGTAAACTTGCAAAAATGTCACTTTTTAATAACTTGAATTATTTGTAACATCTTGAACTATTTTGAATTGTAGTGAAAAGATGTCATGAAGCAATGAACTTAACTTAGAAAAATTTACAAGTCTTGCAAAAGTTGGATTTTTGACTTTCTTGATTTTTGATGATCAAATTTCATATTTTGGATGTCTTGATAAAATATGAATTTTGGGACTCAATTTTGGTTAAAAAGTCAAAGTTTGACTATACAGTTTACTTTTTCCACCAGTTGACCGAATTTTGTCTATCAATATATTGATCTCAGGAGATGAATTGAAATATGCAATTAGGTCAAAATGACGTGCTCAGATACTTGAGATCATGCTTCCAACCAATAAGGCAGGTATTAGGTCAAAAATCAAAGTTCGGTCATTTTCAATCAAAACACTATTTTTGCCTATTTTGCCCTTTTGATAATTTGAATGACTTGCTTGGAAAATTGTGATCCAAGACTTGAAACATGACAGAAATAATCCTGAGGGTCGATAATGATCCATGAAAGTCGTTTGAAACATTAGAAATCCAACTTCCTTTGTACAAAATCAAACCCTAATTTGAGGCATCAGTGTTGAGGAGATTATTTGACCTAGTCGATGCTTGCGCAAACTTGAGTCATTGAAGATCTTTGTAGGAAATATCTTGATAAATAAGAGGGAAAATTTTGGGGTACAACAGTCCCGAACGATAATATGACATCTGTTGACTAAAAATAGACTTGCTAAAAATAGAAATATTATGCATAAAATAAATTACATAAATTTAAAGAACACAATCAATTGTTAACCCAGTTCGGTTCATTTTCACCTATTCTGGGGGCTATCAAAACATAGAAATTCACTATAATTAGTATAAACTCAAATCTAAACAGTCCCAGTTTACAACTTCTCCATTAATCACTACCCAGTGCAACTTCTACCTAGGAACCTCTAAGATACGAGAACCCCTCTCACTCTCTATCACCGCAGTATTATCAAACAATCTTAATCCCAAAGAATGTCTCAAGAAACCAAAAAAAAATATCACTCTTGCAAAACAAAAAATACTTAGTTTTGCTTAAAATCTTTAACAAAGAATAATACTCATTTCTTTGCTTAAAAGCTTAGAGGAGAACAATAACTTGATAAACACGTAACAATTAGTCAAAATCAATGCATCAAAAGATACACGAGGACGTACAAAAACACACGAAAACTTAAAGACCTCACAAACCCTAAACCCTTATTTTTCCACACTCAATTTACAAAAAGAATGCTTAAAAAACTAGGTCTTGGACGTCCCCTTAAATAGACTCTTGTAGTGGGCTTGGACTCTTCAATCAAATTCAATTAGCAGCTCCAAATCCTTTCAAAATATTCTCCATAAAAATATAAACAAATCTCATAAATGTTTCCTAAAAATTCTCAAAGATCCTTTTTATGAAACTAATCAAATATACACTTTTGTTCCTAAAAAATCCTTGATTGCATGCGCCTGTATGAGTACTAGAATCTTCTATAAACTCATATTTTCAAATCAAATCTTTAAGGTGACATACCAGTTGTATTATCATGATGTTCTATTATAAAATGTTACAACATCTGATAGAACATCTTTCAAATAAGTATCAGCAAAATCTGATGTACAAGTTAGTCAAGATGTTATGACATCTTGCTCAACATTAGGTTGTAATACATGTTTTCTAAATGAAACATGTTTTGATAAAATTGTTGTCAACTCTTTGTTTCACCAAATTTTTTGTCAATTATAAAATCACAGACCTAACAATCTTCCCTTTTGGCAAATTTTGGCTAAAACAACCTTTGCACAATAATCGGGAGAGAGGAAGAAAACCATAAACATAAGTTACATGAGTACATGAAAACTCTGTAAAAGCACAACACAGCTCAACTTAGCTTAAGAGCTTGTATAATCAGATAGATCTAATACTCCCCCTATCATACGCATTCATTCCTCACCCTCAAGGGAAAAACTCCCAAATCTGAGCACATGCAGCAGAAGACAGAGAAGCAATAGCAACAACTTTAACACAACCAAACATGACAAACTATCATGCTCCCCCTGTATAGTTGCATTCATCAAGAAACCACAAATACTACTCTCTCTTAGCACTAGCACAATCCTATCACAATGATAAATCAACATGTAAAGACATGTGATATAACATCAAGAGAAAAAACAAAACCAACACTTTACTCGCCCTTTTTAGCCAAAATATTGACAAAAACTAGAGTAAATGTACACAAGGTTGAAACACACATATGGCACACCAGCAATAACACAAATGGAAGCACAAAAGAAAACACACATGTGAAAACACGCACACACTTGGTAATCTTTAGGTGGCCATCAACCTCTTCCCCCTGTCAAATAGCCTTCTGCATTCCTTGGTGTTGTAGCCAGCCCCACTATCTAGCAGAACACCTTCTTTCCATATCTTCTCAGTAGCAATTTGTCTAGGCATGCCATGCCTTAAATTATAGAGGAAAGATGCAGTAATTGTTGCAGTCCTCCATATATGTAATTTTTATAAGTCCTTGATAGTACAAGTTCCAATCCCACTGTTTTTTATAACAGTAAGTTGTTCCTTGTTGTCCATATGCTCTAGAGTCACAACCTTCCCCTCAACAAGATTCTTGATTAGTTGATCATACCCATTAAGGTTCTTGTTCCATCCACGTTGAAAGAGATATCAGAATGAATTTAGATCTTCACTATAAAATTTCATGACATTTTTATTGACATCTCGTCTTTTTAACACCAGTTTGGAGAAATTTCCTCTTATTTCCCTCGAGGAAACACGTCCATTTGTATTTGATATATTTTGTTTAAATTAAGTGTTGTTACCTTTATCAGGGTGACTTGCAGTAAGTTCCATGGATTGCTCTATCTATCCTTTGGTCGACCGACCTTTACTGGATTAAGAATTCACTAACTCAGTGTGTGTGAATTCACAAATTTCCTCCCTTAGTGCTCCATCAGTTTGAACACATGATGTTCCAACATCGTCTCTAACATCCACATGTTCTTCGCCAATTGAATCATCAATTATCACATTCATAGATTCCATTGTCATTTCGGTTATGGAGTTAAAAACTCTATAAGCTCTTCTACTAGAAGATTAGCCCATAAATATTCCTTCATCCCCTATAGAGTCCTTCTTGTCCACTTGATCTTTGTAAGTAAATATCTGGCATATACTTCCAAAGACATGAAAGTATTTAACTTTAGGTTTCCTTCCTTTCTATAACTTATAGAGATTAGTAGTTGTTGTACCTCCTCTCAAAGGGACCCTGTTATGAATATAGCATACAATATAAATATCTTC